AAAAAATATCGAGACAATAATGTTTGAATTATAAGCATCTAAAGTAAGTAAATCATATCATCAAAAGTTCATGCGTTTAAGTGTTGTATATACAACGCAAAGTTATCCAATCATATTTGAACGTGCAATCTTTGAATAATTCACTAACTTTAAATAGCTGTAATTCAAAAATTATTATAGTCTCATATTATATGATACATGCGATATATATTTCAGCGCAATAATAATATACACATAATTTATTTCTAACTAATAATAACATTATCACATTAAGTTTTATTTAATATTTAATTTTTTTGCAACAAATAATTAGAAAATTACTTAATTAGATAATCCAAAAATCCGGCATATGCTCAACATATCGACATGTTGAATTCGTACTTGAATTATATATTCGCGATTCATTGGATATTGATGAGTCCTAAGAAAATTTATCCACAAAGTTTCTGGCAACAAAAAAAGCAAACAAGATCATGCTCAAAAAAGAAACGTCCGCAGCAAGTGAGTTTACAGTAATAACAGCATAACATAATATTTCGCTAGAAAGAACGTAGTCGTCACCGGATTCATTTAAGTCTAATAGGATTATTTTTAATCCCGCGGTTCTACTGCGGCTTCTTCGTATCCTTTTCTTCGTCAGCTACCGAGAGTTCAGAGTTCTAAGAGACAGGAGTTGGATCGCTAAATGAGTCTCAACCGTGATCCTCGTACTGAATAATGCATAAAAGCCCCGATATTTTTATACAAAACGGAGAACTTCACTTTTGGCCATTTTTCTTTTCTACTTCAGAAATGATGATGAATTATTAAATCAAATTGAAGAGAACTTACATCACTTGTTAAAATCAATTACAGAAAATATCGCCCTCTTTAAAAGTGACAATTAAAATTGATCTTTGAGTTATCATGAATGATTTAAATAAACATTACCTTATCAATCATCAAAAGTGAAATAACTTTAATTTTATAAAAAAATCCTCACGATACAGAAAAGAGAGTTTAAAAAATCGTCAAAATCGTCACAACCAAAATAACTCTTTAAGGAACGAAAATGACAAAAATTACATTTGATCATGTTAAGAATGTTTTTTTTTTTATTATTCAAATTAATTAGTCAATAATTTTCTGTCAAGTTTTTTGAAAAATAATTTCTTCTCTCTTCTGAAGATTTTATAAGTCACTTTTGAATTAAGGGAGTGATACAAGTCTTAGTATATTATAATTTTAAATAATGTTATAATACCACTGTATGCTACTTTAATACACGTTCTCTAATCACACAAATCCGTATAACTTTCTACATATTAAATTTTCACTTACGCTAATTATCTTATGACGATATATGTATATATATAT